GGAGTTCCAGATCCTTAGGATAGTGAGGAGGAAACACAGTAAGCTCATTACTGGACTTCAAGAGAGCAGACCTTGGCCTCTTCAGGGATCTGCTTGGTAGAGTATCATGGATGAAGGCCCTGGAGGGAAGAGGGGCCCAAGAAAGCTGGTTAGCATTCAAGGATCACCTCCTCCAAGCTCAGGTGCAATGCATCCCAGGGAAGAGGAAATCAGGCAAAAAAGCCAGGAGGCTCCTGGAGAAACTCAAACAGAAAAAGGAAGCCTACAGAGGCTGGAAGCAAGGCCAGGTAGCCTGGGAGGAATACAGAGAAACTGCTCAAGCAGCCGATTGAGCAGTTTAGGATTAGGAAAGCTAAAGTCCTAGATAGAGTTAAATCTGGCCAGGGACATCAAGGGCAACAAGAAAAGCTTCTACAGGTACGTCAGTGATAAAAGGAAGACTAGGGAAACTGTGGGGCCCCTTTGGAAGGAAACAGCAGTCCTGGTTACCTGGGGTATGGAGAAAGCCTCAGTCTTCACCAGTAAGTGCTCTAGTGACACCGCCCAGGTTGCAGAAGGCAGGGAGAATGAAGAAGTACCCACTGTAGGAGAAGACCAGGTTCGAGACTATCTAAGGAATCTTCAGGTGCACAAGTCCATGGGACCTAATGAGATTCATCCGTGGGTCCTGAATGATCTAGTCGATGAAGTTACCAAGCCACTATCCATCATATTTGAGAAGTTGGGGCAGTCCAGCGAAGTTCCCATTGACTGGAAAAGGGGAAACATAACCTCCAGTTTCAAAAAGGGAAAAAAGGAAGACCCAGGGAACTACAGGCCAGTCAGTCTCACCTCTGTGCCCAGCAAGGTCATGGAGCAGATCCTCCTGGAAACTATGCTAAGGCACATGGAAAACAAGGTGATTGATGACAGCCAACACGGCTTCACAAAGGGCAAACTGCCTGCCAAATTTGGTGGCCTTCCACAATGAGGCTATAGCATTGGTGGATAAGGGAAGAGCAACTGATGTTATCTACCTGGACTTGTGCAAAGAATTTGCTGCTGTCCTACACAACATCCTTGTCTATAAACTCGAGAGAGATGGATTTGAGAGATGGATAAGGAAATGATCACACTCAAAAAGTTGCGGTCAATGGCTCGATGTCTGCGTGGTGACCGATGACAAGTGGCGTTCCTTAGGGGTTAGTACTGGGACCAGTGCTATTTAACATCTTCATCAGTAATATGGAAAGTGGGATTAAGTGCACCCTCAGCCAGTTTGTGGTCAACATGTTGGAAAGAACGGATGCCATCCAGACTTCCCTGACAGGCTTGAGAGGTGGGCCCATGCAAACCTCGTGAGGTTCAACAAGGCTTGAGGTTGTTCAGCCTGGAGAACAGAAGGCTCTGGAGAGACTTTATAGCAGCCTTCCAGTACCTTAAAGGGGGCCTACAGGAAAGATGGGGAGGGACTCTTTTATCAGGGAGTGTAGTGATAGGACAAGGGGTAATGGTTTAAAACTGAAAGTGGGTAAATTTAGATTAGGCATAAGGAAGCGATGAAGTTACCAAGCCACTATCCATCATATTTGAGAAGTTGGGGCAGTCCAGCGAAGTTCCCATTGACTGGAAAAGGGGAAACATAACCTCCAGTTTCAAAAAGGGAAAAAAGGAAGACCCAGGGAACTACAGGCCAGTCAGTCTCACCTCTGTGCCCAGCAAGGTCATGGAGCAGATCCTCCTGGAAACTATGCTAAGGCACATGGAAAACAAGGTGATTGATGACAGCCAACACGGCTTCACAAAGGGCAAACTGCCTGCCAAATTTGGTGGCCTTCCACAATGAGGCTATAGCATTGGTGGATAAGGGAAGAGCAACTGATGTTATCTACCTGGACTTGTGCAAAGAATTTGCTGCTGTCCTACACAACATCCTTGTCTATAAACTCGAGAGAGATGGATTTGAGAGATGGATAAGGAAATGATCACACTCAAAAAGTTGCGGTCAATGGCTCGATGTCTGCGTGGTGACCGATGACAAGTGGCGTTCCTTAGGGGTTAGTACTGGGACCAGTGCTATTTAACATCTTCATCAGTAATATGGAAAGTGGGATTAAGTGCACCCTCAGCCAGTTTGTGGTCAACATGTTGGAAAGAACGGATGCCATCCAGACTTCCCTGACAGGCTTGAGAGGTGGGCCCATGCAAACCTCGTGAGGTTCAACAAGGCTTGAGGTTGTTCAGCCTGGAGAACAGAAGGCTCTGGAGAGACTTTATAGCAGCCTTCCAGTACCTTAAAGGGGGCCTACAGGAAAGATGGGGAGGGACTCTTTTATCAGGGAGTGTAGTGATAGGACAAGGGGTAATGGTTTAAAACTGAAAGTGGGTAAATTTAGATTAGGCATAAGGAAGCAATTTTTCACTGTGAGGATGGTGACACAGGCTGCCTAGAGAAGTTGTGGTTGCGCCATCCCTGGAAGTGTTCAAGGTGGGGGTGGAATGACATGATCTTTAAGCTCCCTTCCAACTGTAACCATTCTATGATACTAAAATGCCTTGCTAATGTTGGTAAATGCTTTTTAAATTCAGACAAATTTGGAACACAGAAAATTAAAATCCATCGGATGTGGCAAAGAGTTTCACCCAAAAAGATGTTTCGTAAAAATCTTAGAATACATTTAATCTAAAAAGAGGAATTCATAAGTGCAGCAGCACCACACTTTACTGGTCTCCCTCTAAGATATATGAACTGACCTCACCATCACTAAAGACACGCATAGCTGTAAGCCCATATGTTGGGTTTTGTTTATGTTTGGCCTCATTGTGGCACAAAATAGAGAAGAGGACAATAACCTCAAAGATGATACCATCTCAAAGTAGCTGGAAGGGCTGGCAACACAATACATAATACAATGAAAGCATTTTACCAAAGCATTGTGTCTTTGGTATGCGTTACTGTAGCAATTTGCTTTCATCACAGAATTTTAATTAGGAGACACTTCTCAGATTGCAAGCATTTGTGAAAATCTTGAACTTTTCTTTGAACCAGAGAGTGATATTGCTTTGATCAATAATTGCTGTAAGCTTTTCTATTTTATTTTAATTTTGTTTTCCATTGTGTTTGATTGTTACTTTGCATAGATAAACCACTGTTGCCCCAGGATACTTTTGCAAAGAAGCTGATAGTCTCAAAGGTTTTAATTATCCTGGTTAAATAAAAGTTATTACTACTCCTGCTACTTGATGGGAATTCTAATTAGTATCAAGTCTATTTTGCTTTTCCTTGTATGAACATATTTTTAAATATTAAGTTAAATGATGTTCTGTAAATTGCATCTTTACGATGTATCTTATTGCCATTAAGTCAGTTTTACATGAGAGTTTACAGTATTTTAAAAGTTTGTGGAACTAGTTTAACTACCTAGTTAGTTAGTGTACCTCACTCGGTGACCCAGAAGATACCATTAAGTATGATGACAAATCTTCCAACACGTATATCCACTTACAAAAGAATTACCATTAGTATACTTTCCCACAGAGCAGCCATAATACTGTGTGGATTGCAAGACTTACCTGATTATAAAAGTTTTCTCGGCGTTAATTTTTCAATTGACAAAACAATAAAATTAAGAGCAGACAAACAGCATCTCCTCATTTCAACCCTTGCTTATTATCCCAATGAATGAAGGTGAGGAAATTGTTAAACATACTTGATAGTCATAATGTTACAGCTGTACGGTGTGCACTACTGCTCTGCACAGAATTGTTTTTTCATTTGAATGTAATTTGAATTGCATGTGTCTTACTAAATGTTACTCATGGTTAAATGAAGGGTCAGACTCCTGAATAACACAAATAATTCTCCAGTGGAAATACCAGGTGTGTTGCAGGTATCCAGGTTACTTTGTTAATTATCATTTTTAAAATCATTATGACACACTTCTTATGCATAAAATTTCAATGAAACCTGTCAGAAGCTTACTTCTATGTCCTTCAAAATACAGGCTAAAGAATGATGGATATTATAAGGATTTTATTTTTCTTGTGCAACAGCATGTTGTCTTAGAACAGAAGAAGTGACTTGTACTTGGAAAGAATCTACTCCCATCCTTAATAGAACACTAATAATGCAATACATCATTTTTTATTAATCCTTTCATTATGAGTGTAATGCCTTAGGTGGTAGATAAGGTAGATTTGTCACAGGAAAATGAGACTGTCTGCACTGGAAACACAGACTATTATTTTTGTTCTGGCTTTGCAATTACAATATAGACATAATGACAAGTCTGCTTGGGCTACCCACCATTCAACAAATGATACTTGAGATTCCGTCCTTTCTTAATAGATGCTTTCTTTTCTTATTATTTGGTATGTGCCATTGGTAAAGGACATGCTGCAGAGCACTGCAGCCTGCTGTGCTGATTTGAAACCCAGCTCAAAACCTGAATTCTTCTAAATATATGCAAAGAATCTGCATGGCAACCAGCAAACAACATGAATGATAATTCAGCAGCTGTAAATGGACTCTATACGAATAGCAACCTACTGGCTTCCATAGAAGCTATGCCAGAAAAATCCCGTTTGCTGAATAATGAAAAATAATCCTCCAAATACAATGTGATTTAGGATTACTTGCTTCTGTTGGTTTTAAAAAATACTAAAAAGAACACTTTCAATGGAGAGGGACATCGCTACTGTTTGTTATTATTTTCATCCTCTATAATTCAGGATGTTGTTCATTGGGCATATACAGCACAAAGGATGTTTATATCACTCTCCTAACAACAACAACAACAACAAAAACAAATAAAAAAGAGACAGTTTGTTTTCACTTGCCTGACTCGCTTACAACTAGACATCTCAAACACAGGCCTCTCTAATCCTGAGCCTATTATTGAGCCATTACTCATTACTGTGCAATCAAAAGAAGTCTTTACAGCACAGTGTATTACCTCTTAGGTCACATTGGCACTTACATTTATTTTTTTTTTTAATTAAAAATGCAGAATTCAACTTACCTGACAAGTGAAAGATATTGGGTCAGCCACTTTCTTAAAAATGTGCTCAATCTCCTCCAGTGCAGTATAGTACTCAATCTGTGCTGTGGTCTTAATGACTCCCCCACAGTAGACATTTACATATACAGGGCCAGCAGGAAAATCTTATAAAACACAAATCAGAACAGTAGCTGAAAATATTTTACAATCCCAAAGCAGAGGTTTCAGGGAGTGAGTAAAAGAAAAGGAAAATATCACAGAAAATGAACTACATTTCCATTTCACAGATGATTCAGTGTAGTCAGTTTTTTATTCAGGTCTTTCAGTCTAACATTAAAAAGCTGACAAAAGAAAATACATTATCTGTAAATCTGTATAAAACAAAGCTATTGTATTGCTTCACATTAGAAAGGAGATGAAAACAGTACACTTCAAATTTCCAACTTCCCTTTGATAGACTGATGACCTATAATCAGCTCCCTTATGCCTACAAATTAAGGAAAAGGTCATTTATTACAAATAGTGGAATTGCTATTCATCTTTTGAAACATTTTTCTTAATTGCAGGCAAGGTTCTCAAAATTGGATTTGAACTAGGCTGCAGAAATTGCAGTATAATTACTTCCATTCCAGTTGTTTACCTAGTAAAAGCAAAGGAAAGAGGCATTTGTGCAGTCTGTTACTTAAGTATGACTTGCTCTGTGTATGCAGCATGAGCCCTCTTTGTGAGCACATTTCATAATTCATTAGTATTCATTGTGCCAGGCATCCTGCTGTACCGTACCAGCACTAGCACCGTTTTCTTAAAATTCTAAGTCTCCCCACAAAAGAACGATAAAAATGGGCAACCCTGAAAATGGAGAGGAGAAATAGGGCCAGAAGAAAAAAAAAAAAATTTAAAAAAGGGTACTCCGAAACTTTCAACTTTTCCTGATTTTGAAACAGAGAAAAAAGCCTACAGAGAGAAGCATTAAATGCAAATGACATAAGAAACAAAATTAAACTTGTGCTGCAGCGCTCTACCAATTTTTTCATAATATTTCATTTACTGTTCATATTTTATTTCTTCATTCACTATAGAAACATTCCTGTGATAAACAATGTTTTCACAGAATAATTCTGGAAGAATCTTTTAAGATGTGTGAATGAGGATTTGAGATTTCCCTCTCTGAAATCCTGTTACAGACAGAAGTTTCCTGTTGGTCGTGTACTTCCCAACCAGGTCTCTAAAACCAAACTCTCTGCACCATCACATTAATAAAGAACTTTAAGGCCATATGGGGCGATTGTCTCAGGACAGTGTTCAGAATGACAACCAGGACACAGAATTACCCAAACGTAGCTCCAAGAAGCCACCGTTGAAAATTGTAGCCTATATATTCTTCCTATCTAATTTTGTATTGCAATGGGTTTAGAATAAAATTTTATATAAGTTCCTTTTGGAATTCACAGCATGCAGTGGAAGAGCAAGCTACACTCTGAATATTTAAGTGAAAATTTTCTTAATTTTTAACTCACATCAAGTGAGTGGGGATAGGTGCCACCCTTAAATCTGCACAGATCTCCTAAGAGAAACTGTTGTTAACTAGCTGAAGCTCTTGGCTACTATTTATGGACAGACCAGTTGAAAAAAAATCATTAGAAACCAGCAGAGCTTAGTGAGACAGAAATGGCATGGACATGAACTGAGAAAAAAAATTATTTCCTGTATCAGTAAGAATTATAGAGAGCAATATAACTAAATTTGCTGCATTAAATATAAAATTAAACATTTTAGTAATAGAGTAATAAGAAAAGAATATTAGCTTTGCATTTTATGGCAGTGATTTTGAAGAATGTTAATCTGTGACTAATCAATGACATTTTAAGACTGCCACCTGCCATCTAACCACACAAAAACAATCTAAGAGAACCTAGTTTCCCATAAATCAGGAGGCCTTGCTTCTCTGCATTATTAATAAATGTTCTGTGTGCAAAACCCATGTACAGGAAACACCTACAAAAAATAGTGAGAAGTGAAACTACTTATCAGAAAAAGTGAAGGGATTCCATTTTTTTTCTGTTTACTTAAAGGTAAAGAATGATTTTCTTACCTAAGGCTTTCATGTACTTGACCTTGTTATTCCAGGAGGCTGGCTGTGTCCTAATTCGTTGATTATCTGCTATGAATTCAATTTCTACTGTTTCATCATCTATTTCATCTTTCAACAAAATGAATATTTCACCAGGGTTCTATAAAATGAAAATATGTTCCCATTAGTCCTTTGGAAAATTATACTGAACGTATAAAATGCAAATGAAAACCTAAGTTGGAAGGAAAGTTCCTTTACCAACGGCTTCATACAAAAAAAAAATATCATAATACCAAAACATGATGCTATCTCAGTATTATCCTTTAGTGTTTTACTGATGTGAATGACTCAATTAATGTAGTATTTTAAATTCAGCTTAGCTAACAATATTTTAAAACAGTATTTTAAATGCATAAGTAGGTGAATTATTACACTAAGACCATTCTACTTTATAGTCTAGAAGAATGACATTTTGCCTAATAAGAACCACCTAAAATACTTTAAGGTTCACTTAAACTCTTACAGTGAACTGACAGTAACGTAAGCCAGAAGCAGCAGGTAATAGGAGACAATACCCCTCTACTGCCTTCTGAACCAGAGGGAATGTTACTCCCTTAGAACTGTACTGGTCTCAACAAGGAAACAATGTGTGTAAATCATCTTTGAAAGACAGCAAGCAAAATATATGACATTCCATGTACACTGCAACCTCCATATCTGACCGTGGCCACTTACTTATAGAAAGGAATGCAGTGCTGGATATTGTACTTTATATTTTCACATATTTTCTCACAGCAACTCTGCTTAAAACCAATACATATGAACATTTTTGTCCATCAGATATACGTGCATGTATAAATACTTCCGATTAATTTAGAATCAGACAAGGTATACTCTCATATAAGCCCTTGTGTAACCCATTTAGTATGGGCACATATGCACGTACCCATATACCCATCACGGATTCTTGCTAAGAGACATGCCATCTCTCTCACAAAGTGCCTGACTACATGCTCCCTCTAAACTACAGAGTCCCCATAACAGTAATATCTCTACCCAGACTGCCAAATAATTCTAACAGAGATAAAATTCCTCAGAGGCTGTCTCAAAACTACTCTATTTGCAAATCCTTTGGCTGCAGCGTGGATGTGACACAAAGGCAAAATAAATCCCGTTGCAGTCTTCACGGACTCTCATTTTGGCCCCTTATCTGCCATTTGTTTTCAAAACTGTTATAGTGTGAATAAGACTGCAGCAGGAAGAGAAGAACATTGACTGTTATCCCAAAGATTTTAGCATCCAAAAACCTTACCTCACATGATATTCTTCCTGGAAGCACCAATATCGACTGCTCGTTAGTTTCTACCGTTTCAGAAAGTAACTCTGTTTTCAAACTGAGGTCTGTTTTTTCTGATGCTGTCCTGACATCTGGCAAGTTAACGTCAGAGCTAGTCTGGTGATCTGGAATAAATAATGTGGAATAAGGACATTGTTAATAATCCCAGATCAACAAAACATGGTAATGATGTGGTTTCCAACATATTAGAGACTCATCCATTTGGAGTCACATTAACATCACTGCATGGAAGTCTGGCAAAGTTCCTTTCATTTAAACATGGTGAGGTTTCCCCCTGTGATAAAGAGCTTGCCTCTGAAGTTCTGATCCTGCAGTCTTTGTAAGAACTAACCTTGCCCACATGCTTCCTCTTACTCAAGTCAAAAGGGACATGGCCTTTATACCAAAGTCCCTGTGACCAATGAGGTCACAGAGATCAGCCAGTTTTGTAGTCTCAGAAGAAAAAAATCTCATAGGTTGGAATAAACTGGGATTTTTAGCACCCTTGCTTTGCCTATATGTAAACAAGGACACACTACACATTTGCAACATCAGCCCACCTGTCCACAGGGAGGATTTATGTGAGGGCAGTGATACCTGTGACCAGGTAACTATGACAGTAGAGAAAGATTCCATAGTCTTTGCCCTCCTTCATGGACAAAACAATGAACTGAAGGCTTTTTTTTTTTTTTTTTAATGTGTGGGATATTGTAAATTTGGAAATGCTACGCCAGTCACACAGAGAACTTGTAACCAGTTTCTTTTCTGTTTTGCTGTACCAGTAAAGGCTCAAGAGCCATAGTGAATCCTTCACCAAATGGCAGAATTTTAATGAGGAAATACAGAAGAACTGACAACCGCACCCCGCAGAGCTCTGACTAAGCCTATTCTTCACACCTGCTACTTCTCAGCTGTATCATTACTACTCCTTTCCAGACACTCTATTACACTGTACAAAACGCTGTTGCCACCCATCTCAAAGGACTGCGGCAGCTCTTCATCACGCTGGATTACCCGGCATATTGCAGTCACCTCGTTAGATTAATGGTATCATTCCAAGCAGCTCAGAGTTAAAAAATCTTGACTGGCTGGTGAGAAAAATATCCTGAGAGACATCAACAGTATCTTGTATTACTGTAAATTATGGAACACTCACAGTCAATTACATTCAAGGACACAAATAACTTTTCAGGCACATCTTTTCCTCTTAAATGGATGCAGAATATTAATATAAATTAGTGATGGGCAGAATACAGAACAGTAGCAATTTGGCTTTGCGCAAACAAGTACCACAGCCACTTGGAGTTTCTTTTCAAAAGTGCCCAAGTCACTGAGGTACACAAACAACACAGAGCTCCTAAGTGGCACAAATTCTTTCCATGCAGCATCGGTTTTGGTAATTTACAATTAGCTTTCCCCACTTCTTGCTTGCCTTTATTTCCCCCACATGAACCAGTTTGATACAGAATGTTCTCTTTTCTTACCAGCCTTGTGTTGCTTAAGAAGGCATAGTTTTTAATGAACTTCTCTAATAAATGTGCCTGCTAAGTGAAGTTATGCCAGGGAACGTAGTACAGAAGCTTGAGTATGCTATGTCTGACGTAGTTTTCTTTTTTAACCCCAGAGATGTGCTTTGATTGTTGGAGAGATCCCAGAAAAAAGGTTTAAAAAAGTAAAAAAAAAAGTATTATTTATCCATGTTTCATTGAGGAAGCTAAAGGTTCTTTGAACATCTAAGGTGGGTGTGTTCAGTGTTCATCAGCAGCTAGTAAAACCACCCCAGCCTACTCCTGCTTACATTCTCATGCTTTTAAGGTAAACTAATTTTGAATTCAAGCTGTGAATTGAGTGTAGATTGGTAAAATTACACTGAACCTACGTGCAGGCATACTTTACTGAATTGAAGTAGTTTTAATTCCATTTGCTGTAATTTATTTTGGAAGTTAAATAGGCTACACTGAACAAAGGCTATTTTGATTCTGAATGAGAATCCACCCACAGTTCAATGCAGTTTAACTAAGCCAGCTCAAAATGTAAGTACATTAATTTACCTGATTACCACTATGAAGACTAGACTTTATTTAGCATCACCCTTCAGGAAAAGGAAGGCCTGAACCCTTGCTGAGAAAAGCAGTTAGGATACTGTATGCCCACACCATGTACTTTGGGAATATTATGTGTTCATATTTTAAGTCACTCATAAATCTTACACTTAAGCACACAGAATTTACTTCAGAAGACAACTCATCTGAGGTGCACACTTCAGAGATTTTTTCTGCCACTTTAGGTGAAGGAGTCTAGCAAAGATAAGAAACATTTCATTATCAGATTGACAAAATGGAAGGACTGAATAACAAATCCGATAGGCACAGGATTCTCAGATGTCAGCTTTCTGTCAGCGATCATTCTTCAAGGATTGTGTGGATACATTCCAATCTATGTGAAGTTCATGACAACTTTATTTCTACAGTCCACACGCCGCTTATCTAAGATGACAGTAGTGACTTCCACTTTTTAATGTCCACAGTAATTCATCCACTGAGAAGGTCAATGCTAGCGTTAACAAGTTGGTTTCAATTGGAATAATGTTTTCCTCCCACATTAATTGCATTTTAATATTTTTATTATGCCTGGTGACATATGACTACAATATCAGGACTTCTACCCAGTCAGTATGGGGACTGCACAGCCCTAGAGTTTAGACAAATTATTAATAAATGTGGCTCCTACATCAAAGACTCGGATATTTAAGAGAATGAGGGATTCATTTGCTGACTGTGAAAGCAGTTAGCAATTTCTTAGCTAAAAACCATCAAGCAAGACCTCTTTCGCTAAGCATCAGGCCCACCTGACAATCAATGAGAACCATGTACAGCAGTCCAAGAATAACAGGATCTGTATTATGACCAAACTCCAGAGACACCAAATCCAGCACTCAGACTCCTACCAGCAGCAGCACACTATCTGTCCTAAAACGTGCAACATGAAACAACCACATGAAGTGTAATTTGGATTTGGTGAACAAGAAATCCACCAGAGATTAAGCAAGCCTGGGCTTGGCATTAGCTAAAACAATGTAGTTCATAAGGGTTTAAAACTACAGTAATGAGATTCTAGTAACACAAATAAAGCAATGTATAGACAATATTTGTTTAATGCGGGCAGAAAGTGTTGCCTGATATAAAGGTCTTTTGAACATCTTCACTGTGAACCCTCTTTACAGTCTCGCTTTTAACCCAAAAGCAATGGCTAGGGAGCTCCCCCAGTTGCTAAGGCTTTCAGAACAATTATCATTTAACAAGAATTTATAACTGTAGGTGAAGATTAGCTTAAAAGAAACATAAAAGAACTTCATTATAATGCTGGAATATCTAAGAGAGAGGATTTATTAAGGGGTATTTGTTGGTTGGTGAAGGTGTTCTTTTAACATTCTATATAATGCTGACCTATCTGTGAGGTTCTTAAAATGTAGCAGTAACGATTAAAATAATGGATGAATAAAACCAGACCCTTTCTTGTAGGATAGAAGTATAAGAAACTATTAACTATATCTAATGATGCTTAGACAGCACTGTGAGCTAGAAGCTAAAAAGAAAGTAAATCTATGATAATCTTCCCTTGAGTATTCAGGGCAGTCCTACTGGGAATTATCATCTATTATACAGGGTAATGCACCATTTCCATCAAGTTACTTTTGTTGGCTTACTTTTGACAAATATCTACTGCTGATGGTCACATTGAAAGGACTGATTTTAAATTTAAGTTGGTATTTAAATAATAAAATATTGCACACGTTTACTGTAACAGTTATTCACTTAATTGGACACAGTGCTGATTTCCATTTTCCTTCAATATTCTTTCTTAATTCATGTAACTTCAATACATCAGTCGGGTATATTTTACACAAAACCTTTTGGAATGCATTATTGCTTTCAATTTAACATTTTAAACTGAATTCATGAAATGACTTTGAAATTGCATTCCTTCACATACACTGAGAAGTTTTAATGAAGTCTCACTAGTCTCTTGTGAATTCAACAGTTAATGCCTCACCATGGCTTCTGAACAACTTTCAGGCCACATCCAACCTCCTCCTCCCGCCCCCAAATTCTAACTCATCAAATACACTCAGTAGCTATCCCTATTGCGGTCTACATGAGGATTATAAATTGTCTCTGGCTTTGATTACTTGGTATTTGCTACATGTTTTGAGTCAACAATGTATGTGACAGATTTGGGGTATTAAAAATAGCAGAAAACATAAACTGATGAAAGATTTATGTGTTTTCTAAGGCTGTCCATGGAATAAATCTCACAGCCCAAATTTAGTCGGTTTTACAAAAGGAAAATGCCTGTTAGGTTTACAAATTTCAGTTCTTCCTCAAGTCTTACTAAAGCAATGCTAGCTGAAGAACCAAAACTGCATTATAAAAAACATCCTCATTTATCCCTAGATCACACAACATATAAGAGGATGAGAAATATGGGCAAATCAGGTTAGGCAGATGACAAGGAATGGAAAGGTAATTAAGTACATGTTACCAACTTGCCACATGAAATAAAAAGACATGCTATTCCAATGTCAAAGACTAAAATAAAGAGGATTACAGAGGATTTCAGGGCAGGAATCATCCTGTGCAATATGATAGGACCACCTCTCAGCACAATGTGAGGTAAAGGCAGAGGTTCCGTGTCAGAACCACTGGATTCTGTGAGGTATAACTGAAAAGGTGCTCATATACAAATGACTTCCTTGCAATTCAAAAGCTTAAAGTCAAACATATGTGAGTGCTCTGCAGAAATGTGAATCGAAGTACAGCCGCACAGAAAAAAACAAGGTAACCTTCTTTAACGTTGTGAATCGAAGTACAGCCGCACAGAAAAAACCAAGGTAACCTTCTTTAACATGGAAAAAAAAAAAAAATAAGGAAAAAACACTTATGCACATCATACTCTTCCGGGAATCTACAGTAAGTTTATCATAGACATTTATGAACGTTAATCCTCTTAAAGTATGGGTATTTGTAAATGCTGTATGAATTCAGCAGAGAGTGCAGCAGAGTGGGATTGAAAGGCAGCCTCTAACTGCATAAATTGCTCTATAAATGACCTGAGGAAGGCAGCG